TGACTTATACAAATACTTCGGGCATACCCGAACAAACAAAAGAAACAATGTACAAACGATAAGATCAATGACCCAATACTAAGGATTTAAAGTGAATCAAGTCATGCAGATACAAAGAAAACATAACTTTGTATACGTGTGTCTTAATTAGTCTCATAATGCTATCCAAGTGTGGTATAAGGTTTTCAAAAATCTTTCTATTCTTCACCGTCCAAACGTGGTAAACAGTGCTTGTAAATGCAATCCTCTTAGCTTTGCTTTGCCAAGATGTCACATGAGCCTCCTTTTTTATCCACTTCAACGAGCTAGATAATGTAGACATGGATCTTCTAATACCAAGTCATTGTCGGATCCTCCCCCATAAGATCGATGTGAACAAACATTCAAAAAACAAGTGTTGGCCTATTTTTCGCCATTTGTCCACAAAGAACATAATTCCGGTCAATATCCAAGGATTGCAATTTGTTTTTGGTGAGGAGTATAAATTGACCACTTAACCAAAGCAACAATGAGTGTTTTGACGATCGAACGTATGATATTCCTTAATGTTTTGATTGCCCGAATTTTTCTTTTAGTCAGATGCAGAGTTTGTTCAAGGCTACATTTGATATATTGAAAAAGCAGCGTAATAACCAAAATAAATAAATAAATAACAAGGTAAAATAATTTTATTTAAAATTTTATATGAATAATAATAATTAATTCAAGAAAAATATAAATACATAAATCTATCCGTTAATTATATTTTTGAAGCATAAAAATTTCTAATTTTCTAATAATAAATGCTGGTTTTAAATTGGTGATAAATTTGAATACATCCTTTAAATGGTGGACCATAGCCAACAAAAAAAAAACAAGAACAGAAGTTCTTTCCCCACAATTTTCCGTCCACAAATATGAAATATACAAACTCCAAATTTGACGTTTCGCGTCGGAGTCGCAAATATGGGCCCCATAGAAAGTGACCCGTTTTCCGCTTTAGAATGGCGTCATGAAAATACACCAACTCCTTGCAGTATACCGCTGACCCATTTATGGTCTTTTGCCAGGCTTTACTTCAGTTATAAATTCGGCTTAGCCGGTTAGCCGCTGCCTCGGACTTCCCAGCTTAAGCTGATGTTATTTCTCATATTATGCCCTAATTGATAGAGATTAAAATTTTAACTATATATTTCATATGATCCGCATATTTCATCAGTTTTTATCAAATTTACTAAATTTGATAATCTCTACTGAACATACGCTATATTTTATTTCGATCCCCCCCTCCTCCTCCTCCTCCTCCTCCTCCTCCTAAGAATACATTTTTTGAATAATTGATTGATAGAGAATGTGTGATCGAAAAATAAGGAAAAAATTTGAATTTTCGTGTAATATTATTTTATTAAAGAATGTGTAGTTGAAAATAAGAGAGATGAAATGCATTTTAAAAAATAATGGAG